ATTACGTGGGAGTTGTTAGAGTTATTTAACTAATCTCTAATAAGAAAATTATCTTCGGTGAGCAGGGTCCACATAACATCACGGTAGCTGGTTGAAGCAGATGGGTCACTCCCACTACGATTATATATTGTCGAGGATATTAAAGGTCATTTGTTAACCTTTAATAGTGAGTTTTCTCGAAAAACATGGTCTATGTTTATATTAAACAGATTGAATATATAGGTCCACTGAATACATGTGATACTTAGTGTCATCAGGTTATTATGTGGAGACTATTCAAAGGATCTTCAACTATCTTCTAGCAATGAACTTATATCGGAGTCAATGGTCCGCATAATATTGAGCATAGGAGTCTCTCTAACGTGATTATGACTTTATGGAGGTTTTTAGAGAGTTGGTAACTAAGCTTTTGTAATGATATGTCTCGTGTGATAGAGTTTATATGTGATATCCCATATTGATTGGAGAGGAAAACGAAACACCCTTTATAAGAGTGTGAAAATATTTCCCTATCAAATGCATTTTAAAGTCTTGAGGGGAAGCCCGAAAGGGAAAGCCCAAAGAGGTCAATATCTACTAGCGGTAGGCCTGAGCCGTTACAAATGGTATCAGAACCAGACATCGGGCTATGTGTCAGCGAGGAGGCTAATCTCTGAAGGGGGTACACAAAAGGCAGTGTACCAGTAAGGACGTTGGACCCTGAAGTGGATTGATTTGGTGGAGGTCCCACATCGATTGGAGAAAGGAACGAATGTCAACGAGGACACTGAGCCTTGCTGAACCCTAAAGGGGGTGGATTGTGATATCTCACATTAGTTGGGGAGGAGAACGAAACACCAATTATAAAAGTGTGGAAATCTTTCACGCCTCAAGGGAAAGCCTAAAGAGGACAATATTTGCTCGCAGTTTGAGCTGTACACTATATATGCTAGATTACCTAAATCATGGTGAACCGATGAGCCTGAGCCGTTACACTATATATATTTTATACATATTTTTGAGATGCAAAACTCTTATTTAATTCCCTCATTTACTATTATTTTATTTTAATTATTTTATAATTAATATCATTATGTTTTAATTATTTTATAATTAGTGTCATTTTATTTCAATTATTATATAATTAATTTAGTGGTATTAAAAATCCGAGCATCTCAACTCAACTCAACCCGTACAATTTGAGTTAGGTTACAAACTAATTTGAGTTGAGTTACGTTCAAATAAACGAAATTTTTATAGATTAAGTTAGTTTACGAAGGTTCTCTACAACTAAATATTTAAAAAAAATTTAACCAACATTTAAAAATAAATAAATATATATTTTAAGAACGGACATTTTACTTCATTAAAAAAGTTGAACACATGATCCGAATAACTTAAACCAATCTAGGGTCGGGTTTATTATTTATTAAGGTTATTTGGATTGAAAAAAATTAAAAACCGAACCATTGAATTTGATCTAAAATTATTTTGTGAGTGCATAATTTTAAAAGTTTCCGTTATGGATTTTTATTTGGCCTAATCAATCTAAACCGGTATTAGCCTTAATCAATCTAGGCATGTAATGGGTTAACACCATGTTACCACATGAGAATCATACCGAACATATGGGGTGTAACCTCATAGTTCAGCGAATTATTGAGATAAAATGTGAACCAACAATTTATTACGGAAGAATTGTTAATGACACTTTAATATTCTCCACAAAGTAACCTGATAACCTAAAACGAGAGGAGCGACCATGTGCCGGACTCTGTCAATCGAGATAGTTTACTACTAGAGGTTAATTGGAAACCCTCTAATAGTCTGCACATAGTAATCTGATAATGCTAGCTACTAAGATACAACGTGGATCCTGTCAATCTAGAAATACCACTTGGTGACCTTTTAATATTCCTGTGTTATAAATTAACGTGAATATGAAGAGGCATTTAACCATGCACATAGTGACGAATTATATACAATCATTTAAACATATTTTTACTTACAACTTGCATAATAATCTCATATAACATGCTATAATATTTCATTCTTGATCATTTATATAAATCAGGCTTATGCAAAATAGTAGACGTTCGTGTGTCACGTTATTTATTCACATTCCACATTCGGACTAGGCTTATCTCAAAGAAGTTTAGGATGTAGAAATAACAGGTTGTTTTTCTCTATATTTCACGAAAACCTTTGGACACCCTCTGGAATATGTAGATCAAAATAATCCTAAAGCTAGAGAAGACTAAACCAAATCCAACATAATTAGATCATATCGAAACTCTTACTAGTACGTACAGTTCACAATGCTTTCTCCTTGCTCCTAGACATGTATCTTTCGATAACAACAATGGTAAATCAAAGATGAGAAGAAAGGAAGCTAACCGAAAAATGAAGAACAGAATAACCCAAAATCTTATCATGGTTTGACTAGTAGCGACAACGGAAATAGTGGAGATAACCTCAAAATAAACAACCAAGAACTTTAAATTAGTCACAACTGAGGTGAAATAGGCGATGAAGTGTGATGGTTTACTGAAATTGTCATAGTCAACGATAACCAACCAATGATAGTAAACAAAGAACAATTGGGTCAAAGGTTTTGAAGATACTGATAACAGTTAAATGAAACGTCAGACAAATCTAGCAAAAACATCACTTTTTATACCTTACACATTTCTCTTTCTAAACAAAACCTAGACATAATGGAAATGAAAATGAAAAAATATTTAAAAAAAAAGTTGAAATTTTCCTAACCCATCATCTTAGAGTTAAAAAACTAGAGATGATTCAATTGGTAGGTTATGAAGCCGGCGGCTTATTTATAACTCAGTCAACGGTTATGCATAGTAAAACTAAAAGCTATATATATATATTAATGAGGGGAGAGTTTGAAAATGTGTATTCTCTATATTCTCTCTTGTCGTACATACCTAAAGTCATCAATACAAAACCTTTAGCCAATATTCTCTTTGCATTTTCTCTATCATGTTCTTTGTGTTCATCTAAATCAAGTGTGTGCGTTGTTGTACGATTCTAACATCAACGAGTATGAGGAAGATTAGAGTTTTATCGATGAAGGAAGAGAAATGAACGAGGACAAAGATTTCTTCCCACCACAATCAATTGCACATAAGATGTCCCCTAAAACATTGATATGACTTTTGGACTCTTAAGAGGTAAGTATATGAAGAGATGCTTATTTTGGTGTCCAATATTAATGGGATGCTCCATGTGGAAGCCTAATCCACTTAGCTTGGTAGGGCCAAGAGGTTGCCCTTTGGAGAAAAATGACACATTTTTGGCGGAAGATGTAGACTAATTACTTTCATTCCCAAACTAGTGGCTAAGAATCATTCATGTCTAAGTCTATAACTCGTAGAAGCTGCCTAACCAGAAAAATTTAGTTCTTAAACTTCAGTAAAGCTGCTTTTCTCCTAAATCTTGATAAACCGGCTTCTTTCCTCTCCCATTTTTTCGAAGCATTATCGGCCCCTTTTTGCGGCTATATTAGTTTAGGTCTAACGAGATTAACAAAAATTTTAACGAACTAGTTTCATAATATAATTGTTATCTAATCCTATTTTCTTTTTTAAATCCAACCTTATTCTACTGTATTTCCTCTGTAAAAGCCTCAATCTCCAAGCCCCTTGTATAGGTTGGGCAAGTTTGGATGCCACGAGTAATCTTTAAGTTAGATATGTTGTGATTCAACTGAGTTGTCAAGTAATATTTTTATTCTAAGGGTTGATAAAGGGCAGCCAAAGAAGCAATATTCACCTTAACCCATATGTACAAATCTTTGGTCTCGAAATTCTAAATATCTTAATGTAATAAATCCAGAAAGTTGTTAGATTAAGAATCAAAATTATTACAAACAGAGAAAATTCAAAACTTTATTAAGCAATTATAGATTAGGCTAAGAAAAAAGTATTTAATCAAGAACGATAGTAAACTTAAAAACATCAAATTAGAAGCATAAAAATAGAAAATTCATAAACCGACTACATTTCTTTCTCTGAAATACAACAACTCAACTTGCGACGACACGTATATCAAGAGACCGAAAGTTTGAGTTCCCACTCGACATATTTTTTAACTTTAAAATAAGTTTAATTTTTGTGCTTCTCGTAAAAGAAGATCGTGACAACAAAGATATAAGGTGTAGTACATTGGTATGCATGAGTCCTAAGTTCGAGACTACCCTTATATAAATTATAGGTCATGTTGTTAGATGAACTTGTATTATTTGACGGGGTGAGATGGTAAATCAAACTCATTTTACATATTTATTAATCCGTGTTTCATAACCATTTAAATCACAATTACCCTTATTTTTTTGGTACATGATTCCTCAAAAACCAAGAATAAGAATCACAAGGAGCATATGTTCCTATGGCTCCCATGGAATGTACAACTAACCATATCTTAAAAGGTTGAGATTGAGATGCTCAAAAGGAATCTAATTTAATCGAGAAGGTTTGGAACTAATCAAATTCTTTGGTTTGTAAATCGGCTAATAACCGCTACAAGAAATTCTTAGGTGTCTTATATAGAAAAATATAATTAAAATGTTCGACCGTAACTCCAAAAAGCTTAAAATCTAATATTACTAACCTAAATTTGAATATAAATTTAAATACTACGTATAATTCTAGGCATGTTATTTGTCCTACCTCCATAATTGATCTCTTTTAGACTCTTAAGTCATAAGTAAATCTTAAATCGAAATAAATTTATCTTATAGAATCCAATAATGTTTTAAAATTTATTGATGGTTAATGCTTTACACATAAATTTTTTCCGACTTTTGGATGTTCATTTTACATAAATTTTTCTATCTAATAAAAATGGATCTAGATCTTGTAAACTGATCATGTACTACAAGATGTTTATTTGGAATCGCAAATCCAAACTTATCTATAAAGAGTAGATCAAGTACTACAAGAACTTGTACATTGAAAATCATGATTAAAGAATCGGATCCATTAGTATAGAACTTTTTTTCCCCGAGTAAAATTTCATATTACAAATGTCAATGATCATTAAAGTTTCACTACCTTAATAACACTATTGAGTAAACCAAAAAAATAAAAACAAAATAAATCATAGTATCCCAATGACCTATAACATCTATTACTTTTCTTGTTATCATCAACAAAATAGAATCACATAAAACATAAACCAATTCTTCAAAATAGAATTACATAAAACATAATCCAATATCTAAAGAAATCTATTAACAAAATACTTCTTTAAATACGTAATTTATTTCACTGAACAAGGTCCTTCGTACGAAGGATAGTCATATTGCAACTCGAGTTAAGCAAGTCATTCATCACACTCCTAATTTTTTGCAAGAGCCTTCAATCATGTCAATATAGGGTATTTATAAGTCATTCATCACACTCCTAATTTTGTGTAAGAGCATCCAATCACATCACGATAGAGTATTTATAACCAAAAGGTTCAAATACAAGTTAACTACTAAATCAGCAAAGTTTCACATACTATATCATAATTTCAAGATTTGATGATGACAAATAAGATATATATCAAACCCTTCAATTATTAAAAAAAAAAAAAATTAATGCATCTAGAAAAATGATACTTATATTAATTATATGTTAATGCTATTTTTTTTTTTTTTTTTTCTTGATCTCAATGCAAGTAAAGAGGTTGTATTCAAAGCAACTCCTAACAATATAAAGCACAAGGGTTCATAAAGAACACAAGCACATATCTACTAGATATAGAAATGAGACAACCTTAAGGTACACAAACCAAGGCCACAGCCACAGCCACAGCCACAGCCACAGCAACAGAGCCAATTTGCAAAGCCTGTACGAAAAGTAGAAAGTAATCACCAAAATCAAAAATTTCTCGGACGAAGCAAAGGAGAGGTGCCAACAAACCAAAGGCCTGAATAACCATTTGGGCTTCTGTCCTAAACCACAAGTTTACATTTCTTGAGATCTGAGTTCCATGTGGAGGCCTAGGAAGTTTTATCGAGGTTTTTGTTTTTAAAACGAGCGCCATTTCTTTAGCTTGCAACATGAAAATAAACTACATAATCTAACTTCCAACTCTACAAAATTTCAGGCCACAAGCGAAAGTACATAGTGCAATAAATTCAAACCAACAAGACAAAAGAAAGTGGATATAAGACAGCAACAAAACCCTGTTTTTAGTGGATTTTAAAATTTTGGTTCCTTGAATGTCACTTGAAAAGAACGTTGAGATATAAATGATGTACTTTAGTTCAATGAAGACTTCACCAAAGCTTAGAATTTGGATATAACTTAGAAAATGAAATTCTTTCCCAAATTTCTAACCCACCTTACACCAAATTGACGTCATAATCTCCAATTTAATTGGGAAGGGGACAGATGTTTATAGTTCCCATGGCAATCATTTGTAACATAAGTTTCCAGGCTTTTGCAATGCTTAAAAATTTAATAAGGTAAAAGATGTGAATGACAATCGTGGTAGACAGAACTGCACAAATCCACAAGTCATTGCTGCATGGCCGTCGGTCCGTTACTATGCTTCATGATGAGCACAATTCTGAACATTTTTGTGTCTTGACTAGAATTTCTTGACAAGTCACATCAGACTCATCATCACCGGACTCCCAAATACATTGGCGGCTATACCGTTATTAGATAGTTAAATATCCGTAAATGTAAAATTCCCAAATAATGGAAATGTCGTTGTGAAGATATATAATAAAGGGGCAATGCTGAAAATAACTTGCAGGTCATTGTTTGTATGGTTAACATTTCTAATATACACACATTTAGTTCCAACAATTGTAAGGTCAGATTCTAATATTCATATTTCATCATTATTTTTGGAAAAAATATATTGCTCTCATATATTTATGCCTAACCCTTCCGTTTTTAAAATATTGACAGAAATTTTGGTCGTATCCAAGCAAATTTCCCTTGCCATGACAATGTTACCATTAATCAGGACTTTGTTGATTGATGTTCCCATAAATTAATAAAAAATTTGACCATGATGATGCCAATTAATTAAGGATTATTGATACAACGCCCAACAGATGAAATGTTTGAAAAAGGACCAGACCGAGACCAAAGAAATGAATGGATTGGGGTTTGAAGGGAAGAGAAGTCATACCAGAGAGCCAAAAGCCAACCCCAGCTCTCTCAGCGGCGAAGGTTCCACTTTGGGTATCAATTCCTGCGATGGTAAGAAACCATAAAAAGAAGAATCCACTAAAAATATAGCTGCAACTTAATGCTTCTCAAACTAATATCCCACATGGTAAATAAACTAATAAATTTCAACTCTTTCGAGTGTGTCTAAGATTGCTAATGATAAAAATAATTGTTTGGAAGCTAAGCTTCATCACATGCGTCCACAAGTATCTGAAAGTTTGTCAAAAAGAGCACAATCGTCTCAATAACACAAGTTCTAGGCTTTATACTCCTGAACTGTTTTTCCATGAAGATTGACAAGTATTTAAGTTCTTTTACTTGAAACAAACTTCTGAGGAGAACCCAACAAGGAGCTTCAAACTAGTCCCCCGATAGAAGAACAATGATGAAGACGCCAAAAAAAAAAATCAAAACGTTGCCCGCTCACAATGTGCATGTTCTGAATGTTCAAAAATGTGTATAATGCGATTATGGAACTAGTGGTCAATGTAAAATCAGATGCTCGGAATTTATCCTCCTTTTTTTGTGGAGGGGTGGATGAATCTTGGCAATTATTTTTCGTAAATATCAACGATGGCATCACTCCCAAGGTTGGTCAGCATACTCATTTTATCTTTTATTGAATAACAAATCAAACATGTTTGTACAAAAAATCAATATCCAAGGATCGTGTAAGCAAAACAAAAATTGACTTTACAGTATCTAAGAGGAGAGACTCATCTGCAATATAGAGATATCTATAAGAATGAACAAGGTCAGAAATTCATCACTGGAATGGCAAAATTGTCTGCCGTGTAACAGTCATCCGGCCTCTACCAACAATCATAATCAATAGCCTGAAAACACAAAGAAATTTCATTAATGCTCACAATTTATGAAACCAACGATGTATCACTCTTCACAATATTACCCAGCGCCATCAAGCAATATTCAGCAATATTCACAAGAAAAGCATGAATTTTCATGTACATTTCATTCGAGATATAATTGCTCCAACAATTTGCCAATAGCAAATACTAACAATTTGCCAATATCAAATACTAACAATTTGCCAATAGCAAATAATAACAATTTTCCATGTAAGAAAAATGAAGACCGGATTCTACTTGGACTGCGACAATTTTGTGACAGAATAGGATGAGACATAAAATATCCAAACAAGTTTTATAATGATATAAATACTTCTACCACGGTGATTTAATTATAAAAAGATGAAAATTTGAAATTTACAAGAGGATAAAATAGTTTTCAATGATCGCAAGACCAACCACCTCATGGACAGACCAGCTAGAAATAACACTCCTATCCTCTCCCTACCAAGTGTTTTACTGACTTGTCAATTGAAAGATATAAAACACGTTCATAAAGAAGCTCAATATTATCACTCAATTTATTTTATTGGGTGGTCGTCTACAATCAGGATGTTGAAGTCAGTTCCAGTATCCCCCATAAAGACTTGCTAACAAACCATGTCTGTATCCATCGTTCATATTTAAAACCATTGCTTGAGTACGAGGCATCAGTACCAATAAAAAAAAATGAATTACCTCGACCAACTTTAGTTGGGAGATTTGGAGCATGACAGAGTGCGCTGAAAAGCATGCAGCTGCAACATGCAACCCTTCATCGCATGGCAAAGGTAGATAATTTAGACCTCAGAAAGGACCAAGTTTTATCACGCTTCTTCATCGACATAATTTTGACAAGACTTCATGTCCACTACATAAGAACAAGAAACTTATTGCTGATTCGTGACTGAAGAACTGAGCCAAATATACAAGTAAAAAACAATATCACACAAGATTAAAAGAATGCACAAATGATACTACAAATATTCGATCAGAAGATGGAGAGGCAATCACCATTGTGAAAAGTGGCATGAGCTGAGTGCAGATAAGATATTTCAAACAAAAACGACTTAAATTCTGTTTCTCATCCAGAAAAAAAATAACTTAGTGAAGGCATAACCAGGAGATGATGCTCCTCCAAATATACAAACTTTGCATCCTCCATAACTAACGCTGATATCTTCAAGAACATGAACTGAAGGTTTTGACATAAAACTGATTTTTCTCTCAGATTTCTCTCTCTGCATTGCTCTTTGATTTTCAAATCTCTCTCGTTTTTTGTAATTTAATTGTTGTGCCCTACTTTTTCATCTTCTTTCTTTCACTCGTTCCTTTTATCCTTCTCTTTTTTCTAAACAAAACAGAGATAAAAAGGTAGAATTGAATAAAAAGGATTTTTCTATCTCCGATTCTACTCTGTTATTTTACCACGGACTCTACCCTGTTTTTGCAATTTAAGGGGGAAAAAGGGTTCTCCCTTGTGTTTTAATACTTATTATCCTAGTTTCTCATTTAAACTTTAATAGAATGAAAAAGAATGTCAACCACCAAAAACTTAAGACAATAATGACGATGATCTCGACTTCAATATTGGGTAATTTTTTCTTGTTCACATCTAAATTTTACCTACTCTTTAAAAAAAAGAAAAAAAAAAACTTTTCATTTAAATGAAAAGAAGTACTAACAAAGTTGTAGCCATATTACGTCAGTGTTTTTAAAGAAAGAGGGAAAAACCCCCTCGAGTAAAAGCTTCGACTGCCTGTTGACCAAAATGAGGATCAAGACAAAATAGACAATATAATCCACAAATGATGGTTAGGAGTCCTATCTCCTTTTCTAACTTCATTCGTTAATGAAATGTCCTTGTTTCTCTTTAAAAATAACAAATAAAAAAGAAGTAAATCACTCAACAAAAAGCGCCCGTAATAAAACTCCTCAGAGAAGGAAACCTAACGAGGACACTGTCTAACTAAAGAACACACCTCTCCAAAGACTTGCACTGCTTCAGAAAATTTTCTAGTCTAAACCAAATATTCTAGACAGGACAGAAGGATGAATACCAAAGAGCCCCTCCCTTATCCCAAGGCAGATGAAAGAGAACCCCTGTATCATCAAATGACACAACCTAATATGAGCCAACATCATGACAAAAATCTCTTGGATAAGTCCCAATCAAGCACGCATTCTTGCATTAGACTCAACACTATGACCCAGCAACATGGAAGTTCATTGTATCTAAATACAGTCAATGTCATTGATATCCCCATGAACGAACACCGCAGTAAAAACAAATTTGATCATTTTGGCAATTCCAGCCTTCACAAGGGAATCACATAAAGAACCAAAAAAAAAAAAAAAAAAAAAAAAAAAAAAAAAAAAAAAAAAAAAAAAA